AATTACATACTCACGAACTTAAAAAGGGGAGAAATGTCTTTTGGCCATTTTTCTAAAAGGTTTAATTTATTATTCTTAGTGGAAATATATTTTTCAACTTGGTATTTAATTCTTACTTTAAATTTGAAACCTTCGATGTTTGGAAGTACCTGTTTCTTTCTGCAATCCCATAAATACAATTTACCAATTAATATCAGATAACTTAACAAGGGGCATTTTGACATCGTTATTCCAATTATAACCTCTCGTAAACACAACCCGTGAAATTCCTTTGTTATTGTTAAATAATACTGTTCAACATTTTTCCACAACATATTTGAGTGCTGACAGTAAAACAGAAAGTGACATAATGTTTCCTGTTCAGTCTTGCAAAAAGTACATTTGTCATGCTGGAGATATCCAATTTTAAAAAGTTTTGCATTAGTGTAAAGTATTGAATTTAAAACTTTATATTGAAAGGATTTGACGTAAGGCTCCTGTGTTGTCAGGTGTGGAAGGTTGTAAGCAATTTTTAAGTCTTCGTCAGATAAGCCAAAATCATGTTTTAAATTCTTTGCATTACTAGGTAATTGTGCTTTATTTGATATTATTAAAGAGAAGTAGTCTTTCGTTTTCTTTTCCGCTATGTCAAAAATCTCATTCCCCTTTGTAAAATAAGTATTTTCTGTAAAAGTAGTATACTCTATTGTTTTCAGAATAGAAGGAATTGCATGCCTGAGACCTGTCCATGTAAGAAAATTAGCTTTCTCAATTATGTTATTGATTGCATTAAAGGATTCTATATTGTCGAGATTGAACAAGAGATAATAATACATATCCCCGAGTCATAATAAGATTTATAAAAGACTGGTTTTCCATCTATTCTTATATCTTTGTTATTCCAAATTATACAGAGCCGTTCTTTGTTAGCTAAAAAGAGATTTCGAAATTCTAACCAATATTCTAAGAGTTCTCTGTAGAAAACCGAGTTGATTGAAAGATCGTTCATCGCATAATTGCATTTAAAAAGTAAAAGACCACCAACACTACGTAGGAGATGAAACAAGTAAAATTTCCACGTACTTTCATTATCGCTGAAAACACGTTTTAGCCAAGCTAGTCGTACAGCTTTGACCAAGCTTTCAATATCTGTCACTTTTACGCCACCGTCTTCATAACTGTTTATTGAAGAGAGCCTCGTTACTTTATCCTTTCCATTCCATAAAAAGGAGAAAATTATACTATTCACTTGTTTGATGATTTTACTTGGAGGTGAAAGAACCGAAGATATAAAAACTAGTTTTGGAATAAGTAATGATTTGATTATAGTTACTTTACCATAAATGGACAGTCCTCTAGATGACCATATATTTGTCAGCTTCTTTATGCTGTCAACTTTCTCTTGAAAGTTTTTTTTTTTGTAAAGTAATGATTGGTCATATGTAAAAAGGTTCCTAAAGCTTTTATGGGTTCACTGGGCCATTTAATACCAAACGGTTTTTCATCTTTTCTTTTAAGCGAACCAATCCACATTCCTTCTGTTTTAGAGCTATTTATCTCCAACCCACTGAAGTTCTTAAATACTTCTAGTTCTTGAAATAACGTTTTTGCAGAACTTTCATCAGACAGGATTGCTGTGGTATCGTCTGCGTATTGCAATAGCTTGGCTTCGTAATTTTCTATTTTAATTCCTTTGATATCAGCATTTTGACGAATGGAGATTGCCAAGCTTTCAACAGCTAAGATAAAGAGGTAAGGGGACAAAGGATCACCCTGCCTCACACCACGTTCTAAAGTAAAATAGTCTGATGCCATTCCATTATTTATTACACAGCTTTGAATATTTGTATAAAACATTTTGACCCAATTTATAAAATTGGGGCCAAAATTAAAAGCCTCAAGGCAACTGAAAAGATAATGCCATTCTAAAGAGTCGAAAGCCTTCTTAAAGTCAATGAAAATCACGATACCTGGAATATTCTTACTGTCTGTAAATTCCATTATATCGAAAATTGATCGGATAGTCTCACCAATATAGCGATCTTCAACATAACCTGTTTGATTATGATGTATGATATTCGGTAGAACTTTCTTTAATCTTAAAGCAATCACTTTTGAGATGATTTTTGCATCCACGTTAATAAGAGAGATTGGCCTCCAATTTTCAATGAGAGTTCGATCTTTATGTTGCTTTTCTATAAGAGTTATGATTGCTTTTCTTTGAGAGCTTGACATTTCACCGTGGTCGAAACACTCTCTCACACACTCCATAAGAGGATCACTAATTAATTCCCAGCAACTTTTGTAAAATTCTATTGGTATTCCATCATTACCAGGAGATTTGTTATTCTCAAAACTGTTAAGGATGGCTGTAATTTCTTCAACAAATATTTCTCTCTCACAAGATTGTTTTTGTTCTTCTGATAATCTTGGTATATTCAAATTATTTAAAAATTCGTTTCCATTTTCCCTATCCTCATCTGTTACGTTTGATTTGTACAAGCTATGGTAAAAGCGTTTTTGTTCGTTTAGTATCCCAAAAGGATCAGATGTAATGGAACCACTTATTAGCAGTTTTCTTATATGTTTTTTGACATGATTACGCTTTTCTAAATTTAGAAAATATTTTGTGCTTCTCTCGCCATGCTCGCGCCATCGTGCCCTTGCGCGAATAATTACACCCCTTGTTTTTTCCTCATAGTAACTTTCTAGAATTTCTTTTGCTTCATTTAGAGTATTTAGGTTAGAGTCGGAAGGGTCCTGTTCGAATTTTTTAGTCGCTTCCTCGTATCCTTGTTTTAAGTTTTTTTCCATAGCAGATCGTTCTTTGGCTCTCTTTTTCGAGAACAAAATAGCATGCTTCCGAATATTATACTTAAGCCAATCCCAAATGCACCTTTTGTCTGATAAATTATCACTTCCTGTTGTTTTCCAAAGTGGAATATTTTGTTTTAATTCTTCCACATAATTCGGATCTTCGAGAAGAGAGACGTTCATTTTCCAGAAGCCGGGCCCCTTTGAGTTTTGATTGGAGTCGGTTAGATTCAACTCAATTGCTGTATGATCAGTTTTTATAGCTGGAATGATATCGGTTGTATTTACAAAATCCTGTAAGTTGTTTGATAACAGCCAGTAATCTAAACGACAGAAAATTGGTGGAGATTTTTGGCTCCAAGTGTAACTTCTAGATTGCGGATTTTTAATTCTCCACACGTCGACAAGGTCCAATTCATTTTGTAAACATTCAATATTATCAATAACCATTTTTCTAGGAACCATAACGCCATCTTTCTTATCCAGCTTAGGGTCAAGAGGACAGTTAAAATCCCCGCCAATGATTATATTTTCTTCACAATCTAAGTCTTCTGTCTGTAGCACTCTATGTAGGTTTTTATAACATTTGCCGCTGACTTTATCTTTGTTTGGCGCATAAATATTAACTAAAATGTACACCTTATCCTGAATGCCTGCCTTCAAAATAATAAATCTCCCCTGGGGATCAACAATTAAAATTATTCCTAATCAATATCGCAACCCCACATGAATTTGGACTACCATGTGAGAAAAATGCTTTACCACCCCATTCATTTGCCCATTGTTTTTCTGAATCCTCTTTTGAATGCGTTTCTTGCAGGAATATTACGTCAGCTTTTCTTTTTCGGCACCAGGTGAACATAGTTCTTCTTTTATGAAAATTACTTATGCCCCTTACGTTCAAAGAAACTGATTTAAATAAATCTGCCGTTTCAGTTGTGTTTTATAAAAATGCATATATTGTTTGGGATTAGTACTTTCCAATGTTTAACGAAGCATTCAAAATGAGTGAAACAAAAGACATTTTCTCCTCCAACTGAGAAAATAATAAAACAAAACAGAACACATAGTACATTTACATATAAACTGATATTAAACAAAATTCTTAACATCTAGTGGACGTAGATTCACTGTTGAGTTTGAAACCGATCATGGAATCAATACATTAATAATTTTTTGCCATTTTACAATAATAGGGAAGGTCTTTAGTTTCTTTTCCTCTGTATATTTGGCCATTGATTATCAATTTATCAAAGTTAAAGAAGGCTTTTTGCTTATCCTGCTTGGCCTTTTTAAGCACTGGATAAAGTTTTCTATGAATTTCTTCAATTTCTTTCGGGAAATCATCTGAGAAACCGATGTTGGTTCCTTTTAAGTTCTTGTAGAAGGAGTGAACATATTCTTTGTCCTGATAATAACGGAAACGAGCAATAATTGGTTTGGGATAGGACGGAGCTCTTAGACTAGAATTATTAGTGGAGATTCGGTGAACTCGCTCAAAGCGGATATCGTTGAGTTTATCCGCCGGAATTTTCAAATTAGCGACAAAGACACTTCTTACCAGCTCTTCAGTATTTTCATCCTCTTCTTCCCCGACATTGAAAATTCTTACATTCTCACGTCTTGTATAGGTTTCCAACTTGATGTTTCTGCGTCTTAGCGTTCCAATGTCCTCGAACAAGAAGTCAATGTCTTCATTGTTTTCTTTTACTTGTGCAGAAGTTTCTTTCTGACTTTCTTGTAGACTTTCAATTTCTTCCTCGGCAGATTGCAAAGATTGTTTTAAATTCTTTACTTCATCTCTCAGCTTGCGTATTTCATCTTTTAGTAGTGCAATTTCACCACACGCTGTTAAAACTTGATCTAGTTTAGTGTTCATTTCCTCGAGGCGTGCTGACATTACTCCACCGACGCCCATCATGTTCATCATCTTCATGCGTTTGCGAGCCATTTTCTCTCAGCCTTTTGCTCAGATTCTTGTCCGCTTTGTCCTTCCCCATTTCTGGTTAAATCTATTTGTAGGTTTCCATGACAGGTACGTTATTAAAGCGTTTAGAACGGCATATTCGGTGGAGCTCACAAAAACACGTCCTACCTCCACGAGGTATTATTAAGTAACAGTTATTTAGCTATATATTTATAGAAAACAACAACACAAAGAAACGGAAAAAAAATGAAAGTAGGAATAAATAATTCGGTAGGACTCGAACCCGGCACTTCCGACTCGACGCGACTACACCTTACCACTACACCGCAGTGGCTGATTACGTAATCTGTAGTAAAAGTGTTTCATTTTATTCCTTTTCCATGAAACTTCCGCCGGCAAGATGATCACCGGCCGCATTAACTGAGCTATTAACAGTGAAAAAACAATGTAAACGCATCTTCCATGGCAATGAATGAATGAAAGAACATAATTATGCTTTTCAAAACGCCGATACACATCCTTGTCTGCAAAGTAGGACATAAAACATATGTTTTGTTATCTCGATTTCCGCTGTCATTTTGAAGCGAATGTCAAAATCACATCCATTTTCGGCTCATACAGTTTCTTAATAATAGCATTGCATGACATTTTCTCACTTTCACATCACCTTCTAGCAAGCTGGAATTTGCATATCCCCCGTGTTGCAGAGTCGAAGAGCAAATGCTTGTTTAGGTGACATTTAACACCTTCAAAATCTCTTTCGAAAAACATTGAAATTCAGGTTTAACACCTGCAATGTTCTGGCCTGTGTATATTGAAGGGGAAGGGTTTATTGTAAAAAGCATCAGACAGCAAATGTCCCTCTGTGAAAGGCTTTCAGCATCAGTTGAACCGTGCAGCAGAAGTTGAAGATGACGATACTTGAATTGAAATCAGCAATCCCCAAAAATCATTCAGGACCAAATTGTTGATCAAGTGAAATCATGTCCAACCTTCAGCTCCTCCAGAAGAAGACCACTAAGAAGATTAAAAAGCATCATCATCTGAAAGACTCCTGCGTGTCTTAAAATTCGGTAAGACCTCTAACCGTGCTGTAGAAAATTTGCCACAAAGAAAACTCTACGTCTAAGCAGCGAAAGATGCACTCTCACCCATCGAACTTCCCTGTGTTTTTATTTGAGTTGTTCGTGGCGCAATGCACTCTGGTTAAATACAATGCATTGTGGTAAAAAGTGATGAATTCGAGAATTCGTCGCCCCTTATACATTTCCTTTAAATCATGATTACTGAAAAAATAAGTTGCAGTCATATACCAGTAATAAGATTTATATAATGTAATACAAGAAACCTTAAAAGAACAAATTTCCAATATGAATATACTGTAGTAGTGAAAATGATGGATGTCACCTTGTTAGGCCTATTGCTATGAACCATATTATAAACTTTCCCAAGGGCACCTTCAATTTCACGCGATGTAAATTCAAATTGGTGTTAATTATATCTCATCATTATATAATTATTTACAAGATAGTCAACATTCTGTCTAAATATTATTAGGTCACCAGAAGGAGAAGGCAAAGAAAGAGCAACTGCTGGCCGAGTGGGAAAAGATGAAATTTGAGATGGATTCTTTGAAGAAGGAAATTTCACAAGGGATGAACGAAAGCCACTTAGAAACAGCCTTGGAGTGGTGCCTTAAACGGCTTATCTCCCTCAAAACTGCCTACAGCACTGTGTTCCCTGAAGTTGCTTGTCAATGCCAGTGTCCAATGCAAGGCTAGAAACAGGGTGCAGTGCCCTAAAACGTATCAAGACTAGGCTGAGGAATAGGCTTGGTGTTGATAAGCTTCAGACTCGTCTAAGATTGCTATCAATGGCCCCCAGGTTGGAATGCCTCAAAGCAAGGCACTGATTACAGTGGCAGTTGAAAAGTGATAGGCCCAAAAAAGAAGAAAGATGCTAAAGAGGAATGAAGGGGAGTCACTGTCATCTGCAAGTGCATCTTCAGTGTCATCACAGATACAAAGCGATGCTAGTGAGCAGATGGACACACCAGTTAACGATCTTCAAGCTGTCTCCAGTGACTCAGAGGTAGAAATTGCAAATGCAGCATTGAACCTAACTGCTGATGTTCCCTGCCACGATGACACAGACTCTGATTATCACAGTGAAAGTGATGTTGATGATAACATCTTTTTCTGAAATCTTGTTATATGCCTTTGAACTTGTTTGATAGAAATTGAAATTAATGCATGTAGAGAATTTTGATTAAAGACAGAAAATAGGTATTTTTGAACTGATTTTAATGTCTGGCTAATAAATGTTACTCAAATATGCCCAAGAATGCTGAAAAACACGTCTCGGAGTGTTTCAAATTTCAATTTTTTCTGCAGCAGCATGCCCCCGGAACTCCACAGCGGGACTGTTTCTCACTATTATATTTTGGTAATTGGCAAATGTATTGATTATATGTCGCTTTCCAGACATAGTGTGTGGTTTTCTTTTTCTTGTAAACAATCTTCCTCTGCGGAGTTTGGAATATGAAACATATAGCATTAGCTGAATATTGCTAATACGAATTGGAACCACTGAAGAAGAGTTGAACTATTTCTGCTGAAAACCTAAGGAAAGTTAAGTTCACTTCAAGGTACAGGGCTTTCAGAAATAGTTGTAATTTTTCAATTAGGATTTGAATTCAAAGTCAGTTGAATGATCGTAATAAACAAAGTGAAATGCTAAAAAGTGTGAACCTGTTTAATCAGGTAGTATTATTTCCCCCGACAATTTGATAATTTCTTCATTACACAAGTAATTTGTCTTGGTACACAAGTTCCAAGTAAGACATCTTGTTTTCTTACTGGTTTACCTGCATCTTCAACGCAAATGTATGTAAATAAATGGAATCCAAATAAAATGTTTCAATTTCTAGGGGGGAAAGATTGAAAGGGAGAAGAAGAATGACAGGTTAAAAATAGATTACTTGCTCACAAGACAGCTGCCTTCTTGCTAGATCAAGGGCAGTTAGTGTGGACTATGAGTTTGCACAGCCTCCTGTAGTGGAAACAGAGGACTATAGAACAAAAAGAGAGTAGTGGAACAAGACAAGAAAAACAAAACAAAGAGAAGAGTTGTTGGATATCTACCACCACCTCCACCAGCAGGGTTAAGTCAGCAAGGAGATAAAGCATACAGTGCTATCTGTGCTTTTGAGGTGAAGCAGATGACTTATGCATTAAGTTTTTGTGAGGTCTGCAAGGCAGGGAGACAGGAGTAAAAAGGCACAAGAACAAAGTGCACTTGCTGCAGAAGAGATAAGAAGGTACCAAAAGTTTGGTCAAACAAGAACAACATGGACCCAATGCCTGTTCCTGATATTTTCCCTTCACTCTCAGATGTTGAACAGATGCAGGGTTAGCACCAACAGTGCATGTACACTTGCTTAAGCATAGAGATATCACTTCAAATAGCCACTGCATGTCTACAAGCAAGGTGGATGGCATACATGTGAGCAGACAAGGAAAAGCTGATACCCATAAGGACTTCAGGGTAAAAAGATACATTCTGCGTTGAAGGAGACATTCATGGGCTAAAGAACAGAAATCCGGCCTTCGAGTATGATGACGTTGTTATTGATGGCGCTCACATAGGAAGTTTATCAGACAATGCTGAGTTACCAAATTTGATAATGCAACTGCATCAAAACCAGTTGACAATAAACTCGGGTAAACAATACTGACGGCAAGGATGGATAATGAAAGTGTTGTCAAGATCGCTGTAACATCGATCATAATTCTGTCTGAAGCCACCAAGCGAGCTACGATTTTGCAAGTAATAAATTCTAGACATTCTTAGCTTTTTGACCGTAAATCAACAGAATCAAGAAACCAATACTGGCTGGGGCACCTAGACAATACTTTCAGTCACCCGAGGCCAAGTCTTGCACCGTTAGATCTAGAGCACAGCCTTGAGTCTTCATCCTCCTCTACGCTGTAAGCTTAGCTTTTCCTTCTTTGCTGATGCAGTATCTTTTTTCTCCCTGTGCAATCCAACCTGACTTGCACTTGATTAGAAGTTGCAGCCAATAAACATCACACAATTTTTCGGGACGGGCACGGGATACGGGAAAGTTAAAAAAACGAGGCAATTTTTTACTCCCAAGACAACAAAAGGAATGCGGTCCCGAATTTAAGACGCTGGCTGACTATGTCATTCCGCGTAAAAAGTTCTGGGCGTGTAAGAAGGTATGGCATTTTCAAATGAAATGAGAAGCTCTGGGTGTTGGTCAATGGTCACATTTTTGCAAACAGTGATCAAGTTGGTGGATCGACTTCGACCCCCACGAATCCAACATTTTCGATCTCACTGGCGATTTGCATAGAGGCCGTTTGAGTTTGTTTTGCTGACCTCCTCCAGACAGATCTGGATAAAGTAAAGGAATCCTGGAACAGTCACTGGATCAGAACGTCCAGGAATGCCACAGTATCCAGTATCCTGGATATGATGTACTTCCTACCTAAGGAGTTTGGACAGAATAACTGCTTGATTCCAGTGTCCTCAAACAAGCTCATAGATATGGAGATATATATATATTGGTCAAGAGAAAACTGACCCAGGTTTTGCCGAGTGTGTTCAATGCGTCAAAGAAAACAATGATTTAACTTGTCCAAGGACCATCCTTGAAGAGGGTACTCTTTTTGAGAAACCAATAACATTTGCTATGGGCCATTTGTTGATTGGTTGAGCTACTACTAGGCTATATGTTATAGCCCACTAGTAGCAAAAAGAGCAGGCTTTTTGGCGGCAAAAAAGGATTAAGGTCTAGCTTTAACTAGCTAAAAGTTTTTTTATTCTCAATATTTTGACCAATTAGTTGGATTTTCCTTGAACAATTATTCCTCTCACCCTCATGGCCTCTGAGTCAACAACCCATTCGGCCGGCTATTGACTCAGAGCCCATTCGGGCTCGAAGAATAATTGTTAAATATTCATTAGACTTTGTGCATAGTATATAAGCATGTGTTAATTATTGATAGTTGTCAGTTAGTCTAACTTTGGAAAGATTCGCTTTGGCCATGAATGCACGTCTGTCCCAGCCGAATGCTGCTGCAGTTCAGGAACTTTTGCAGCCTTTTGAAACTTCTACTCGATGAGAAAGCCTGTATTACCAGTAGAGGCATCCGGGAGTGGTTAAACTTCTTCTGAGGGTAATGTCACAAGCTCAAAAGAACAGAATAAGGCGGAGAACCTTGAGGTAGTGTTTCAGTTTCTGTTTACTTCAGTTGACGTACAGGTTGGCAGTTGTCATTTATTTCAACATGGCAGGTTATTTTCTCTTTACTAAAAAAAGAGACACGGAAAAGAAAGGTTTTTTAACTAAACAGCTACATGGGACTCCACCCTCACTGATGGAACTAATGTCACATTTATTGGATAAAAAAGTTACCATGGTAAAGGTCCCCCGAGGCGGCTAAAATATAAGGGAAAGTTACTTTTTTACGACTTTCAAAACAGAAGTGATTCAGATAACTATTGAGGTGGCACTTATAATCAGAAAAGGTATAATTATGATAGAAATATTATTATTTGCTTGATAGACTCAGGATAACAAAAACATTATTCAATATGGGTTTTTCAGGAAACTAGGAATAATTGTGACACCTTTTCAGAACATCCAGTTTCACCTCAAGCAATTTTCCCAGTCATTTTCATAATTGTGTGGAAGTGCGAAGAGACATTTGGAGTGTTCCTCTTTTTTTGGTTAAAAAGAAGCAAACATCCAAGAAAACTTGCTAAAGCCCTTACTATTCTTAAACAAGAATAAAAAGTTACGAATTCAAATGTTGCACCACATTGCACCCACAACTGCAACACAGAGCTGGACGAAGATGAAGATATTTTGTAAGAGACCAAAAGTGAACCTTATTTGGTCTGGTCTTCGGTGACCATGTACTAAGATATTGCGGACGCTCTTTCCCAGGAAGCACATGTTTGTAATGGAGTTGCACTGTAATCGTTTCGTCAGGACAAGTTTCCCTTGCCATTAGAAGGCACAATGACTTGCAAGTATACAGCATTTTCGGTTTATTCAGTCAATATCACCTTTGTAATAGTTATGTGTACAAGTTATGTGCAGTTCGGAAGCAAACCAGAAAGTAAACACCTGATTAAAGGTTATGGTTTCAAGTAGCTATTACTAGATGCTACATATTTACTATTCAAATCCAGGACCTTATATGGATGAGTTTCTTGCGGACAATGAACGCTTATCAGAGTACAACAGACGACTAGCATAAAAAGGAAAGGAGTAACCAGGAGTTGCAAAACTACTTTAACATGCTCCTTGAACCCAACACTTGCAAAGTTTCACTGGATTCTCACTCCTGATTTATCAACCTGAAAATTGCCAACCACTGTAACCAAAATTACACTCTCAATCAACGATACATAATTTCATATCAACTATCATATTCTTTTTGATTCCGAGAGTCCTCATGCAGCATTTGTGCTCAAGTTCACCTTTATAATCCCAGAGAATGCCTTTGCTGATACAGAATTGAAAAGTGTGTCAAATCACTTCAGAGTGCAGCTGTTTTGAAAAAGCTGGAAATAACTCCTGAATGCATAACAGCTTTCAGGGTCATTTACCTTGACAGCTGGTCTCTTCAATCAGCTGAAACTAAATACAAAGGGAGAGATTGAAGAAAGTACTGTCAGCCTGAAACAGAGAAAAGGTGAGATACAGCTATCTACATTATTATAACTGCACACTACTCACATAACCAGTAGTTTCTAATTTGTGATGCTGATGTTTTCAGCTGGTAAGATGTTAGAAGAAAGGGGTTGGGAAACAGGTACGTCAGAAGCATTTGGTTCCTGTTGGCAGAAAGCAGTAAGAAACTGAAGAGGGTAGGGGTAAAGAAAATTTTACATGTATACAGCCTGTTTTGCTCCACAACAGATAAGGGTAACATTGGAGCTGAAATGCATCTGGAACCCAACATTTGGTAAAAATAATTATAATGCCGTGTTCTAGATAAGAGACAGGTCACGGGTCAATGACCCGATAAAGAAGGCTTCCTGAGCCAACAGACGAAATATCAATGTCAAGTTAAATATAACAAATTTAAAAAAATTAGAAAACGAAAGACACAAGTTTTTTGCTAAATATAACAAACAGACTAGAAAAAGAAAGACGGAAATTTGTAGGCTACAAGAGTATGTTTTTCATCTCTGAAAGTGACAATTGATTACAGAGATTAACAAAATTTGACAGAAAGTGACCCCAATCAGAGAAGGTCAAAGACTGCGGACATTTATTGTATACTGTTTATACTGTTGATTCATGTTAATCTTTTGCAAAGCTAGGAATTTGGACAGTAATAGGACTAGTACGTTTATTTCCATTTTTAATCTGTTTTTTAACACGCCTTTTACTGGTAACTCCTGGCTTTTGTGATAATTTTCGGTGCAAATTAAAACCAAACATTTTTTTTGCTGGCATGACCCAGATGACAGTGGGCTGAACTTGGATTTTTCTGACTAAGCAAAAAAAATTAATTGTGACATAATTTGTTTGTTTGCCAACAGTGTTTTCAGCGGTTGACCAAGTTTAACACAGAAGAGAACAAACTTCAAGACGAGAATTGCGGAGTGTCTAAAAATAGAGAACATCCAAGGGAAAAAAGAAGGCTTCTTATCCCAGATTTGTCAAATCGTTTAACAACCTTTGCTTTGAGTTATAGAGAAGGAATGTGACTAAGGATAACCAGGATCAAGATTAACACTGGGTCAACCACCACATGGTTGAAACCCAAGTGTCTGGTCACTCCCTTCATACCACAAGACCCAATCCCAAGGATATCGTTAACATCCAAAACACCAGATTTCTGTAAAGTATTATTGTTTGGACTACATAACTTCAACGTCAAAAATTTTGAAGAGTTGAAACTATAGCAGGATGCCTGCATATTCCACACATTTACATAAGGGAGATATCCCAGAAGTCTAAAAAGTTATACAATTTAACATTTAATGTCAACTTTTTTTTAAGTAAACGTAGAGCAATAAGGGGACAATAAAGTTGTGTAATCTTTCATAGATCATAAAAAATAATTTCATTTACTTTTATTGATTGGCATTTTAAATCATTTTCCCAGTAGTGATATGAACCTGTGCTAGAGTGGGTTTTGATAATTGCAAGTAAACTGAGTATAATAGCATGAACTTTTATATGGTGAGCATTGTTATTGTTTTATTTTTATTCTATTTTTCAGTTGATCCAATCCAGGTTTACAAACTGTGCAGTGAAACAGGAGAAGTTTTTTGGGTCATATATGTCAATTCAGCATACAGAACAGACAGGAACTTTTTATAAGTTGTGCCGAAGTTTACAGTTACATTTGTACAGTGGATTGCAACTGCCATAAACATCTTAAAGTTTTTAGAAAACAGGGAAATCATCAAGGATTGTTCTTCCTCCCAGCATCAAAAAACCCTCAGAACAAGACAGTTCTAACCTGGTAGACAGAATCCTTACCACAGAACTTCAGTTCATTTTTGGAAATTTACATAAACATATGTATGGTAATCACAGACCTTATACTTCTACTAGTTGTTAATTACTTTTGTCCTCGTCAGTCCAACATTTCGCTCAAATAAAAAAAAATACACAATTGACAACCTGAAATTTCAAGAGCATGCTTATTTAGGTTTAATCAGTCAATGGGTTTTTTTACTATGTGACTAAAAAGTATATTTTATTTCTTTTATTTTTCTTTTAATAAATAACTTTATCAATACACTGTTCAAAGATATAGTTACACCTTGCTTTTCAAGTGAAATCAAAAATGCCCACCATATATCCCACAGCATTAATAACCCATCTGTTGACAAATGAAAAGACAGAGATGGAAGTGTAAAGCCTAAAGAAAGCACCAGAAAGATAGCTCTGGACAAAGGGAAAGTTTATTTTAATATAACTACTTTATCGCTTAAAGTAAGCAGGACCTCAATGAACCAGAACTGCCCAGAAAAATTGAAGAAATTTCTAAAAGCTTCCACACAGCCAGCAGCTAATTCTAGCTGATTGATCCACCAGTAACATACTAACTGTAATGATCCTTTTTTATTTAATGAAAGATGATTTTTGGACAACTTGATCATAAACTCCAGAAAACGCTGTTAAATTACATACAAAAAACTTACACCACTATGTGCCTGCAAACTCAGCCAAGTACCTCCCGGTGGTATTCTTCAAAGGGAACGATTGATTTGTGGAAAGAAATGTTAGGTAAAAAAGCATGGTAAGAGGAAAAGAAAATGTTACCAAACCAATCCAGTTAATTTGGCTGGCTATTGTTTTATTGTGTTGGCGGTTCATGGTTATTTTTTTCTCCCAGGCCTTAAATTTCACCTGCCATCTGCGGCCTTGTGGGATTTCCGCAATTTGCAAAAACATGCCACATAAAATTTACTTTGCCGCTTCAAATGGGGGCACAAAAAAATACACCCAAGGATAAGTACTGATTTCAGTAACCAGAATTTTAACAAAAACAACCCTAAGGAACAGGTTAGGGGAGGAATCATTGGCCAATTTGATGAAAATTTCAATTGAAGGACCTCCCTTGTCCAAATTCGATTTTCATGAGGCCTGTCAGGTATGGCATACAAAAAAGAACAGTAGGGAAGAAAAGCGACGATTAATATAGTCAGAAACTTTTTTCCCTGAAAAAAAACTAAAAAGAAACTTTGTTTTTCAAGGTGAGATGGGTAAGTTCTGGCACCAAGTTTCTATCTGCTCGTTGGCATGCCTGTTTTGAAAACGTATGGACCCTTTTATGAATGTGGAATTTCAACGACAATTATTTTGTTGAAATATTTGACATGTTTGTCTATCTCCTTGAACAAAAACACAGCGGCTCAATATACATCAGCCTTGTCACTGTAAAAAAAACAGTAAAAAGGTAGGTAAAATTTTATGTATTTTTATATAGCAGTTGAAGTTTTTATCACAAAACAGTAATGACAATATTGACTTTTGATTTAGCAATAATATACATCACGTCACTGTAAACATAGTTTTTTATCACAAAACAGTAAGACAATATTGCTTTGATTTAGCAATATAGCATACTTTGCACGTATTTGCAGGAAAGTGGCAGTTAATTACCTTTTCGGTGCATTTTCTATAAACAAACAAATCTGACCATTCATCACAGACATTTGTGCTTGGTCCAAGTCACATGCTTCCCAGCTGTTTCAGTATAGAAACAGAAAATTACTATATCAAGGGAAAGAAATATCCTTTGACTTCTATTGGCATAGAGCTATTTCAAAAAACGTTGGGGGAAGAAAAGCAAAAAGTCTTCAAGCCAAGACTGCAAGGTATTGCAGGTCGTTTCAAATCCACCTTTTGTTGGCAAACAATCACTCCACTAAACTGGTTGCTGATTTTTATTCATCTATACTGAACCATACTTGTCATTTTAGTTTTTAAAAAAGCACAAAATAAAATTACATTTCAGTCGACGTGCACCCTTGGTTTTTCCCATCTTTGAAAGCAATTTTGTTCAGCTAATTAGCAAGGAAAAATGACATTAAATTTTACATTTTATCAATTTGCATAACGTAGTCACGAATTGGGCCAAAAAAATATCATAAACTTTTCTTCCACATAACGGTTTTTACTCAAGAATAATAATTATTAATTAAAGCTCATCAAAGTCTACTGCACGTAATACTTTGCACCACACCAGCATGTGCGAATGTATGGACAACCACATCGCCTTTATTCCACCTCGTTCAGTTTTTTAAATGATGGCGATTCCCCTGGAAATGAATTCTAAAGGACTAGTTTTAAGTTAAGAAAAAAAAAAAGAAAATTGTGGTCTGCTGTTCACTTCCCCTACAAAACATGACACATTTCAAGTCATAGTCGGGCAACAACGACCATGGACAAAAAAGTGTGATGCACGTGCAAACTAAGTTGTTGTTTTGCTAATTTAAACCTATTGTTGTTCATGGTCTCTTTTTTCACCATTGTATTTGGTTAAGCTCCCTACTGTTTCAAGGCCCTCCAAACACCTCTGTTTTAAAGAGCTGTCCAAAGTTTAGAAATACTCTCACTTATGGAAAGACGTTCCACACTGTTCTCAGGGACACACTTGAGTGGCCGCAAAACTCCTACAGGACCAACCTTGTCCCCAGGACGCTTTCCCTGGCTTTGCAGGTGGGGCGGGAAAAGGCCCTGGCATCGGCTGGCCAATCCGTCATTTTGATTGGTTGATTGATTTAGGTAATTCATGTAAGAGAATGGCCAGTTGAAAATAATGTATGCATTATGGCAAAATCAAAATAGCAGAAAGCATGTCCACTTCAATGAAGATTTTTAGTAAATAATTATTAAGTTGAAATGTTACCAGCAAGAAATCCAGTTTGCAAGCTATGTGGTGGTTCTCATGAGAGATGCTATGTGCTTCGAATACTCAGCAAGGCTGGCTTATTTAAGGATCTGTATTCAAAAGTATATAAAAACCTGTGGCATTTCTGAGGACAATACAAAGGGCAGCAGCGTTATGTAGGGGTGGCGTTACATTCGTAAACAAAATGGATCAGTTTATTTGGAGAGCTCAATCTGTATGTTACACGATGCATAATATAATAGTCATGTGTTCAACTTTGACCGCCATCTTCGCATCAGCCATCGAGGCGTCTATCAAAGGATATGCCACCCAAAAGCTTCGATGCGGATGATGCAAGAGCATTTTCTTTGACCTGTTTTGAAGTGTAGGGCTTTTTATTACGCTTCAATAAGGGTTGTAACTTTCTCCAAAGCGACTTTTGGATGTGGATAACTAAGCAATTTTCTTTAGTCCTTGAATGCAATGCTTCTACGCAATTTTGTATCACACTGGGCCCAACTTGTTAGTTTTCTTTGCAGGCATGTTAAATTATCACGGATAGTGATTTACAGGTCCAAAATTATAAGAATGAAGTGCAACTTAAACTGAAGCTACATCAACTATGGATAATTGCATTGTCACTTAATAGATTCCAGCTTAGTGTTTTTCTTAAGATAAATCAGTCTTCTGACTGGAGCACGTATTTCCATCCTTGGTAATAGCTTTTGAATAATAAAGCTTAACAGTGTTTGGACTGTTTTGTTATTGCCACTTTGTGAAGAGCAACTTTGGTTGTTCTGGCTTTATTGTGGTGAGAACGGTACAGACATGGAATTGCCAGATCCAGTTGGTAAGACTACAATAACATCCTGACCTTTCAGGATGGATTTGAAACTGTTTACTTGAAGAGGTTTAAAATTAAGCGATGGAAAGTTACTGTTACTCAGGAAAAATCCAACCTGGTGAAGCACTGATAAAAACTCTGGCCTACCTGCCATCTTTAGTGTTTTGTTTATGGTATGAGATTGTATACTAATTTAGTACACCCACAAATTCTGGGTGTTTGCTGGTCATGTGACCGGCTGATGCCAGGGCCTTTTCCCACCCCACCTCCCAAGGCCAGGGAAAAGTGCCCTGGGGACAAGGTTGCTATAGGACCTGTAGCAGGTCATTATAAAAATCCCATATTACCTTTCGGTCTTGGCTTAAACTTTTTGCTTTTCTTCTGGCATCGTTTTTTGAAATTGCTGTAAATGGATTAACTTGCATCAAGCTCGCATGGAAGCGGCAGGTTGGTTAAGCAGGTACAGTTGTTTATAGCTAAAATTCAATGATTTTGATCGATCAAACAACATTTCATTGTAAAATTGAATCAAAGACT